CTCTACCTTTGTATAATACTGAGAGATGAATAGGTGTGGGTTTATCACGAATATCACAGAAAGAAAAAAATTACACAATAATATCAATCAGGAAAATATTTTAATATCACAAATACAAAGAGAAATAAATGGTCAAAAACTGAGTAATAAAAGACATCCCTGGTAGATAAAGCCTTTTAGATATCTTCATTTTTTTATTATAAAGGTGCGTGTATATAGTTGAAAATAGATAGATTTTCACTGTTTAGTTTTTACATCTCCTATTGGATAATCTTAAATCTGATGACTTTAGACCTAAAATGGATATTTAAAATAATTTGCTTCATCTGATTATTCTTAAGTTAAATTTCTCAACAGTGTAGATTTTAAAGAATTTTATGCAAAACAGGATAAATTTTCTCTGACTGGGGAGTACATTTTAAAGCACCGCAAAATTTAAGGGGCAAAAGGGAATCCCATAGAGGCTGTATATTTACTCTAACTAACCAAGTCATAAATCCAGATTACTGCAATAAATTATTTTTATCGTTTGAACAGAGTAAGTACAGTATCACATTTGAAAGACATTTGTGTTTAATTCATATCTTAAAATTGACAAAGATAAACAATCACATCTACAGCAACTGAAATGCACTAATGTATACGGAATATACAAGCTAGAGCCAGGAGCAGAGACAAATCTGTTCTTTATATCATCATTGTGGCATAAGGTCATTCAAAATGTAATTGTACTTCTTTGTAAAACATAAAAAATTGTCTGGTTGGAGCTGCAAATTTTAAATGGCTTTGTCTGTGTGGTAATCCGTTATCAGCTTCTATGAACCCAGTAATTCTTTGTTTCATATACAGTTTGCTGGCAGCCTACAGTAACCATTTGCTACTTTTACTTTGCTGAATTAATATTCAGCCAGATACAACAAAAGCCTCCTAAATATATGTCTCAAAAGAAACCAGCCCACTTTTAACCCTTACTAGTTATCTCAATTTCCTCTTCACCATAGATATGATTAATATTATCCTATTAGCCTGACTGTCATTTTATTCTTGCAGTTCCATGCCAGCCTTGTAGAAAGCAATCTATCAAGAGATACATTTATTGGAATGATTTGTTTCCATGTTTAAGTGCTGCACGTTGACTTTTAATACTTAAAAATGGCTATAGCAAACTGATTTTTTAAAGCCTGTAGAATCTCATGCACATGCATGCATAAGAAAAAAGTTAGTCTGTAAGGCAACATATTTTTCTCACAATTCACTGAATGCTTCACTCATTAGTTTCAAGATATCTTATTCCAAAACATAATCTTATCAGAGTTCTTCATGTAAAATTTCTGTTTGTTGTCATACTTTGAAATTTAAGAACTACTTGAATTATATAGCTGAATGATATGCTGGCTAAGGCATTTCCTTATTCCACACTTTTACACTAATGCAATTAATATGATAGTTTCAGAAGGCAAAAAAATAATGTCAGTTTAGGTTTCATTTTTCACATCACAAAAACATTTCCATAGACTTAACAGAACATAAACTGGTTAAGTATATATTCAGTTTTATCTCCTCAGTTTATATAAATATTTACCAAAAAGGAAAAAAAAAAACAAAAAAAAACAAAAAAAAACCACCTGCATGCAATTACACACTTTTCCCCAGCTAGATTTAACATATGTGTGTATAACTGTAGTTTATCATGGAGCACAACACTGCATATTCAGGAAATCCATTCAACATCAGATGTCAGCATCTTACATAATGTTGTATAACTATGATTCACAGAAGAACAGCTTCCAGAAAAGCACAGTGTTCTACCTTTTAAGAATCTAAGCCTAATTTTATCTCAATAAACAATTGCTTTTTAGGGTGATGAAAGAAAATAATTACCATGTTAGACACGATAGCATTTACCTGTTGCTCTACGAAATACAGTGACAAAATGCTTGGTTACTTTGCTAGTTGTGAGTTGAGAAATTATTTACGTAAACATTCTTTATACATTCATCAGCAGGTGTTTCAATTTATAGATTTAATAGTAATAAAATAACATCAAATCCAGATCACATGATGTGCATATTCATGGTTTTTTTCCTCACTGGGGGGGGGATAACAACCCTATTGAGACTGTACTTTATGAAAACCTTTAATGAGAATTCTGACTGTATTTTGTACCATGAATGTCAAATAAGTTTCAAAAGCAAATGTAAACTGCAATCCTAGTGACACATACTAAAAATAACCCTATAAATCTGTTCATTCTGTTTAGATAGTCTCCTGTGTTGTAAAAAGTGAGACTGCTTAGCTTTATTGTATGTTTTGGAGAAAACTAATTTTAGGAAAGTAGGCCACTGATAGCATTATATTATTCTTGTGATTTACAGAGAAGCAATCTATTTTCTGATCTTCTCAGAATCTTAGTATAATTAGGCAAACTTATAGCAAGCTCTTTCGAGGAAATTCTTTAGACAAACATATAGTTTCTTAATAAAGAGCTTAGAGATAATTTTATTTCTTAAACTAAGTATATGAACAAGCTACATTTCACTAAACAAAGCTACACAACATTCCAATGAAAAAATTCCACTGCGTTTTAGCCTGTCAAAGTAATTTGAGTGTTTCCAATAACACAGCAGCTATATCATAATACAAATCTGCTTACCAAAGGATTATATTCAAAGAATGCAGAAATTTGTGAGAAAGAAAGCTGCAAAAGTTCTACATTTCAGTTTGAGATATTACTGTTTGAAAAGAATGTCATCAAAGAAGCAATTTTGAAAGCTGCACCACATTATATGAAAATGCGCAAATAAAGAGGAACAGATTTTTAGCTTTCTTGTAAGACTAAATAATCTTTAGACCTTAAAATTACTCCTTTCCACATCTGAAAAATGATATGAAGAGAATGTTAACATTGGTTGCATTTTTGTATGTATATGCCCAAAGTGACAGCATTCTGGGTCTTTGTTTTGAGATATCTTTATCAGTCCTAAGGATGGATAAATCAGATCTATACAGTCACTATAAGTGCTGGAGACAGAAAAGGCTCAAAAGCTGGCACCAATTTGAATAATCTTTTCAACAATATTAATTGTATACAATGTCACATCACGTTCTTTCTCATTTCGCAACCAGGGCATATAATGAACCGGGGCATACAATGTACCACTCCAAGAAAATACGATGGCTGAAGGGCTTCTACCTTTAGACCCATTCAAGATAAAAAATATAAAACATTCGTATTAGTGTGATGGTTATTATAAGGATAATAGTGCAGTGGCAGTGCCAAGACATCATTAACGCACTGTATCTCTTCTTGATTCAAAAATTTTTGAGTTAATGGGCCAAATTTCACTATATCTTGTACCTGTAGTTGTCATTTTTTACAGCTATCTACTAAAAATAGCATGGTAGACACTAAACATGCATTTCTTCTGATGATCTCTATTAATATTATGGGGGAAAAAAAGTAGTTTAAAGGAATTATTCTTTTAAATCTGAATTTATGTGACTGAATGATTTCTGGAAATATTTATGTATACGTGTACTTGGGATTTTGCACCATCATTCAAAATTTATTTGATTACACTAAATAAATTCTGAATTATCTTATTCAGATTTTCCAAATCTGAAGAAGAACTAAATTCCTTTATTAAATGTGACTCATCATATAAAATTATAAGTTATAGTCTGCAATATCATATCTTTATGTATACATAAAAATTCTGATAAAGAAATATTCTACTATCTATTGTAAAATAAAATACATGATCAGCATGGGAGAACTAATCACTGAAGCCCATGACAGCAGAGACTACTTTTGGTTAGATATGAAAATGAAAAGAAAAATGAAACAAAAATCCAACCTATCCTAATCAAAAACTACATGTAATTGAGAAAATGTGTGCGACTTTTACCAAATGTGAAGAAAGGAGATGCATACAAATACTCAAGAAAGAAAATGCAACTATGTATTTACAAAAGCAAACGGTATGAAATGTGTGCACATATAACACATGAAAAACTTAAGAAGTCCATTTTCAATAGCTATCAGTTGAGAAAGCTACTAATCTGGTACTTCTCTGCAATATATTAATATTTGATGTAAAATTGACACTGTGGGGTATAGAAAATTTGCAAACAATCTAATGGTAATGCAGTGTGAACTTAAAGGGAAGAAAATAAAAGGAATAGCTGGAGTGCATGCTCCAAGACTACTGACAATTCTCTAACCTGTCACAAATTACATTTTAGCTACTGTAGGGTATGTATAGGCTCGTCACAACTAATAACATTTTTCTTTCATCAGGTTTGTGTTAACATTCTGCAAATCTGAAATGTTTACTGTAATGAAGTAATGCATTATATAGATAGCATATGGTTGCTGGCTTTGTTTATATCATTTTAAAATATCTGAAAGGACCGCTTGGACTAAAGTGCAATGTTATTGCTTCCACAGTCAGTTGATGGGTTGTTTAATAGTATTTTAAATGTTTGTTAATGATAGTCTCAAAAAAACAGAAAAGCACAGAAGCAATGCAGAATAGCAGTATCACAATAGTTACAAAGATTAAAATGCCACTAGGGGACAGTAGAAAGTCACAAAATGAGGTTCTGTTGAAGAAAGCAGAACAAAAGGCCTTTCTTTGTCAAAAAGAAATCACAAATATGTATTTCTAAATAAAAATCATTTCACATGTGAGGGTTTTAAAGTTATGCATTAAATAGCAAGGTGGAAACTGGGAGATACTTGCATGAGTCTATTCTTAGGTCTGGTACATTTGTATCTATGTACTATAAAATATACAGTAATCTCAGTTTTAAAAAGAATAAATTCATGAAATTATTTTCAGTACTTTCATAAGTTCTTAAAATGCAGAAGTTTCTGCCATTATTGCATAAGAATACATTAATCTGTGTAGTTTACTTGGCAATAAAATTAATAGATATTGTATGTTCTTGGGATATTAAGCAATGCAAATAAAGGTCTGGATTGTAAAAACGGAAAATAAGCAGCAAAGATCTACTGTATTATGAACTACTGTCAATGTATGGACACTCCTATTCTATGAGAGAATAGCAGTACTCACTCTGGAACAGGACAGTGCTCTTCTGAAGTTCAGACTAGATTCCAGTGCTCACTTGCTGAATCTCTGCAAAATAAAACAAAGCTTAGCACCATTTTATCTGCAAAAGAATACCAAGGTACTCCTGGTAATTGGTATTGTCCTGCAAACTGGAAAGTTTGCTTCAGGTATTTGTAGCTACAGAACTTTCCCTGTTTATATGAAGCATATCCAAGCTAACAAAATCAGACAGCCTGATTCTATGTGATCTACCAGTTCACATAAGTACAGGAGGTAAATGCATACTTCAGAAGTATTTAATTTTTTTCCATTTTCAAAGAAATGCATATTGGCCTACAAATTATCAAGGTTTAGGGAGCATCTAATTCTCAGTCATGTATTTCACAGTATGTAGGAGACAAGATGATTAGCTGTGAGCACAATGTGAATTTCTTCTTGTTTCTTGCACACAAAAACACACAAAGAGGTTTCATCTGTTGAAAGATTATCCCCATTCCAGAGAGGTAAAATGCAGATTCAAAACAGCAGCATGAATGTCTCCTCACAGCCTTGTAATTGCAGTCATCTTGTAGCAATGTCATGATCTTGAATACAGAACGTGGACAATGATATAATTAAGAATTTGAGTGAAAATAGCAAATCTGAGAAGTGTTGGTCTATAATAAGGGCCAGGACTGTTTTCAGATGGAAAACCTATCACATGCCTGTATGTGTGTGAAAGAGACAGGGTGAAATCTAACAAAGCAACAGGCAGATGTACCTTTAAAAAGTACTTTAAAAGAAAACCCTTGTACCACAGCACAGTGAGAGAGAGAAGAGTGTGACTGAGAGGAGGATCAACAGAAGACAGACATGGAGAAGATGGAAATAGGGAAGAAGAAGGAAGCTAACGGGATTGAGAAAGAGGGAAGGCAAGAGGGAGTCAGAGAGAGAGAAAAATCATATATTATCAGATGCATCAATCATCATTTGTGCCAGGCACCATATGTACATAGATGACAAAAATTTCAACATACAACAAAATTCATAGAACAACAGAATATGCAATGGACAGTCTAGGACTACAAGCCCATTTCTCAGACAGTCCTGTAACATTTCTTGAATCATTTATTGAATTGCATTTCAGTAACTGATTTAAAGTACATATATGATGTGAGTAAAAAGCAAGATTTTTAAGATATTAAGCTGTGATATCTCAAAAAGAGCAATTTTTTCTTTTAAAATGAGATTAGTTTTTAAGAATCTGAAAAAGTTTTCCAAATTATTTGGGTGATATATGGTTTAAAATTAGCTAAGAATGGAAGGATAAGCTTCTATGAATTTAATAAGTGTTGCTACCTTTTTAGTCATTATTTGTCCTGGGAAACTCAGCTAGGATGTTTACTCTCATGAAAAAAATTTGGAGGTCAAAAGTATTTCTAGGAAATGACCCAGGAAAAACCACTTCAACCAACAGTGGGCATCTTCAAGGACTTCCTTAAACTCTCTGAACTTTGGAAGATATATTCTTATGATCATATTCTTAAGTGCTTTCCTGAGCAGCATAGACATGATTTTTAAAATAGTAATTAAGTACATAAAGGGGCTTACTAAATTAAAACTCAATGTTAAATACACTCAGAAGAGACATCTCCAAATTCAGCCACTATTTTTATAAACCGAATAAAGCTTTAACCACAAGTCATTTAACAGGCTACCACAAAGCTCTACCTGCTGAAGTTGTCAGAATTTTAGGGCTCTTCACAGGGTACCCTGGCAGTACAAAAGACTTGCATCTTGTAAAGGGAAGCAGTTTTCAGGGGAAGAGTGAGATCACTGATTAGAGTTAGTGGACAGTTTTATGGTTGGCTTATTTTAAAAACTCAGATTCGAAGAAGTTTCATAGTTTTCATGTTCTGATCCATATAACAGTATCTTTGTGCCTTTATAATGTCTGCATTTTTTTTTCCACTATATTGGACTTCATATCTCTAATCAGCATATAATTTGTGCTCACGTTTCCCTTAGCTACCCACTTTTTCATATATTTTACCCAGAAAGAATACTTCTTCCAGTTGTCTCTCAAACAAGACTCTTGCAGCAATACTTCCTTCCTGCTATTCTCATACTCATCTCCACGCTGTTTTGTCCTTCCCCTACCTTTCTACTTCAAGCTTTGCCCAGAACTTAAGTGTTGTTTTCACTGTCAATGTCTTGTGACACACTGAAGTTCTTCAGCTTTCATTTTCCATTTTTCATAATCACGGAAAACCACATTACAAAGCAATGAATTGCGATTTAGCACTCCTATATATCAAGTGAGAAGTTTTCCTAAATCAGGACCACATCTGTAACAAGTCACATTCTGGTGTTTTGATGTGTTTAAGTGTTAGATAGTTCTCTCTAAAGGATTATTCCATTACACATTCATTTAACTGTACATTTTGGTCACTTTCTTTAACAGAGCTCTTAAAAACTGCTATAGTTCATGAAAAATAAAGTGCCCCTATTTCTGTTAAAGGCACTTTGAACAAGATGCCGTTGCCTTTGTTAAAATAGGAAAAAATGGCTTTACATGCGATTATCAGAAAGCCATGGTTTGCAAAAATAATTTGGAAGCTGTAGCAATATCAGATGTTAAACAGGAACTAACATTCAATACCCCATAACGCATTAATGAACCCAGAATAATGTTTGTTCCTTTTTATTTTGTTTTTCGATCTCTGTTGGTGTTTTATTCAATGGAAAATATCTTTCTGGCAGTAACTTGTTGCTCTGCACTAAATGAAAAAAATATGAACTGGAAAAAAATAATGTAAACATGCTAAAACTTAAATCTACTGATCTCCCATTTAATTCTAAGTATACAGAAAACAATGGATAGTTCTGATACAGCACCTGATTGATATTTCCAGGGTGTGAAAACCTCCACCATGAGATTGGGCTGATATTGCATATTCAAACACATACAGTGATATATTTGTCATTGCTATTGACCTTTATCTCTCTAGTTTCCTGACAACCTTCTACAGTTATTGACATTACAAATACCAGTGACAACGTGCAGGGCAAAGTATAACCTTTCATTTACCTTCATGTCCCTCAAATGACTCACATAGGTAGTTTCAACAAAAGCTGCAAACAATGATACTGTTGATTTTTTTTTTCTTAACTTGCTAAAATGTTTTCCATTTTCTTCTTGTTCTCTGAAAATCATGCCAATAACTCGCTACAAAGGAAACGATTTCAAATGAATACAGGTAATTAGAAGTGTCAAGAAATCAGCAGAGAGTAGGGTGTCTGCCATCATTTCTGTGGAAAGAGTGCCAGATTCCCTTTCAAAAAGGTCTTTGTCATTTTTTAATAGAAGATAATTAATGTAGACTACAGTAAAGAGTACGGGATCCCAGTCACTTGTCTTTCTTTCCTTAGAAATTGTACTATGAAGATGTTTTGATTTCTAGAAACAATCTTCTGAGGTTATTTAAAAATGACTTTTAATTACAAGCATGGTCTTTTTAGTCTTTTCATTATTGTAAAAGCAAGCAAGAAGAATTTGGAAAGGGCACATTTATAAGGGTGACATAAAAGAAAAAAAGTTTTATTTTAAAAAGTCCAGGCCTAAGCAGTTTGTTTCAAGTGACAAGATGACTTCATGTAGCTGGTAGTATCCACTATGGAAAACACCAAAAAAAACAGACCCAAATGTGGAAATTTATCCATTAGTAGCATAAAGTCCCACTATCTGAATACAGAAAGGTGGAAGGGCAGTGCCTATATAATAAAAAATTACAGATATTAATGTTGCAAAATGCTATATATTAATTGTAACTCAAAAAATACCTTGTTATTTTGATACTATACGTATGACAAACCAAAATCTTCTTGGACAGGCTGTACAAAATTCATGATTTCTAAGGATAGTTGTACATTTTACGTAAAACTCAATATTTATTCTGAAATCTAGAAAAAAATGGTGTTTGTTAAAAAATATGAGTACAGTGAACCAGAAAGTTGAATCATGAAGTGATTAGTGCACTGAGATCAGTAAATTCCTTTCATGAGAAATTAATGCCTCAAGATAAAACTGAACAACCTTATATAAGTATCTAACAATACATCTAATCAACTAAGTAATCCTAGTATGCTACAAGCATGTAAAATTACAGATGTTCTTAGCAGTCATGAAATTATCTAGAACTTTTCTGATTATAATTACAGTACTTCCCTTACTCTTTCCAACAATATATCTGCACTCTCCAATACTTGATGACATAGAGAAATAATTATTCAATTAAGAGATGAAAATGTTTCCTATCTTTTTTCATTTCATTATGATGGACAGCTAAAGGGCCTCAAAATTACATTTGTATTGATACAATGAGGTCTACCAATAAGGAAATTATATTTTCAACAAAAGACCAAATTAAGTGAATATGATCAAGCACTGTAAAAAACAGAATCTATCCTGTTTTGATAATGGAAAAAAATGTTTCAAAAATATGGAAGACTGGTAACAAAGCATAGTGTATGCAAGAAAATATGACAAATTTTAACTTTGCATTTCCATCTGTACGTTCAGTAATAGAGGAAATTTATAATAACATTTACCAACACTATTTATTTGTGTTACAATGAGGTCATCAGTTTGGATTTTAAGGCAACATAGACATCTAAAGGGAAGATGCTGACAACCTTCTGATTTATGTAAATCAAGCCTAACACATTTCATAGTCTGCATGTCACTGCCAACAGGAATTAAAAAGTAGTAACAAACAAACAGCTCTCTGCTTCATGGTTCTGAAAATAGTTGATAGATCTTAGGGCAGAAATTCCCCTAGTCTTCAGTGCATGCCTTTTCTTCTGGATCTGCAATCTGACATTTCCTACTACACATTTAAATTCACAGCTGCAGGCTCTCTCTCTTTGGGGATTGCTTCCTTTAGGCCTAGTCTGCCATAGGCTAAAATCTCTGCAAAGTCTTTCACAAATTCCAATGGGAATATATCAATTTCTTCAGCCGCAAAATCCAGAAAAGATGCTACAAGAAATCACCAATGTTCTTGGTGCTCTATCACTCTGAAGAA